TTTTAATTATTTTGGTTGGAATCTATTTTGGTATTTTTTAAAGATTAATTTAAAATTCTGTTTCTATGTGGTCAGAATATATGACCTCTTTAAATTAGTCTCTGGAAATTTATTGAAATTTATGGATTACTTACAATCTCCTGTTGAAATAGCACATAGATTCTTGGAAAGAATGATTCAAATGCTGATATGGACCTGTGGTGGTATCAATTATGTTACTCATAGATTATAAATCCTCAGTAGGAGGAAACAAAAATCACACAAATAAGGGATAAAACATATAAGATGATAAAATGTATTATAAATAAATAAAGAAGTAACATGTGAAACAGCCTAGAAGATGGGGATTTGGGAGTGAGATTTGAAAAAAAAAATGAGAAATCATGTACACACATGCACATTGGAAGAAAGTGTTACAGATGGGAGGAAATCAGGGCAAAGGCCTGTGCAGAAGATGGTTGTGCCATTTGAAGACTAACAAGGAAGATTCTGTAGCGAGAGGGTCATTGGTAGTGATGAAAAAGACTAAGGGAGGAACTACATGAATTATCTGATAGTGGTAAATACTATAAAAATTAAGAAAAAAGAGGAAGCAGTACTTGGAGACTTTGAGCTTTCTCTCTAAAAATAATTTTCAGGGATATTTCAGTGGTTTGTATTTTAACTCACTAATCACTTTAGGCTTTTCAGGGAAATTTGTTAAAAAAATAAATACAAATTTTTTCACTAGGGTAATAACATTTCATTACACGTTTAGAGATATTTACATCTCATAATACTAAGAGATTTACAGCATCTTCAATTTTGAAGTACACTTTTTTTTTTACTTTAGCTGCTTTCTTTAGCTATTTTTAGATAGTCCTGCCCATATTCTCCTTGTCCCCATATTCTGAGACAAATGTCGTGAGCAAAACCTTCATTTATTCTACAAAACTTTCCTCAATTAAGTAGAATTAATCTGGAATTCATTTTTTAATAGATCTTTAGTATTTGTGCACAGGTATAAAAAGGTTTCTGAGTGTACATATCAGAATCAAATTCTTGAAATTGATTTTATTGTTGATTTTTATTTTCATTGTCTGGTTTGTTTCTTCCAGAATTCCTGAAATGTTTCCCAATGTAAGATAACATTTACAAAAATGATAGTAAATTTATTTTAAAGGTGATGAAATAGAACACAAACTCCAAGAAGACAAGTAGTTAGCACAAACATTACAAGGGCATCTGGCACCCAACAGAAGGGGCAGAAACTAAGGACACATCACAAATATTTTAAAGGTGAGAAGTGCCTCACCCCCGCCCCAGCTTATTAAGAAAAGAGGATATCTCACAAATGTCACACCCCATGTTACTGCTAGGGGCTGGACTAGTCCCAAAGACTGTTGATCTTAGTCATTTGAGAGAGGAGAGACCACAGCAGGCAGACGCTGTTGGGACTGGGAGAATGAAGAAGAGGTGAGACATCCTCTGGAAAGAGATGCACTGTGGAGCTTGGAGAGAGAGGAGGAGCAGAGAAGGGGATGGAGGAGAGAATGGTTGATGTGTGCCAGGGTCTCATGTGAAGATCATATTGAATCAAAGTATAATGTATATTTCAGCATAACTTTGGAAAAATAAAATAGACTGCTGTCTTTTTGATGAGTTAAAAAAATAATCTAGAATGTTATTGCCTCCCTGATGTGTACTGGCAATAAATTATCAATAACATGAAACAGAATAATTAGATGCAAAGCTTATTAATGAAAAATTAGATAAACAAGGTTATTAGATACATAACTTATTCAATTTCAATATATAAATACTGATATTTGCAACTATTTATGGAATAATTACACATTCTATATGATTGAAAATAAATTAAATACAATTAAAGTCAGGAAAATATAAAAAGGTACCAAAGCTATGAGTTTTCATATACATAAAAAAGTAATCATTCTATTTTGAATGCATGAATAAATATCCAGGTAGCAAAATTTTAAAAAGTAAAATGTCATCCATTAAATATTTCCAAATGATCATGATAGAAAATCTTCATAACAACTAATCTTAATCAGAAACTACA